TCTCCTGTTGTTTTTTATGCACATAAAGCTGAATGGAATTTCATAACTCAATTTAAATGCCTTAATTTAAACCATTTAAACATTTTTTTTTCTGAAATGAACACCAAAGGTTAAGGATTGGCTTCAACACATAGGAATAGGAGATCAGACAGCAATTGTGCATGACAATGATGAACCTGATGATGGAGCTATTCCTGTACATAATGATGATAACATTAAAAAGAGGTAACCTTGTACATGAATGCCTTATTTTTATCAAGTGTGTTCTTACCATATAAGCAAATGCAGATCTGTCCCAACTAGGGCTGCTCTGTCAATTATAAGACCATCAATTGGGAGGTCAACGATTTCAGAAAGAGCAAAAGTTGCAATGCAGAATTATCTTAATCACTTCCTTGGGAACATTGATATTGTGAATTCTCGTGAGGTAATCCTATAAGCTTTTTCATATTTCCTTCATAAATTTGATCTTGAATTTTGTCTTTTCAACATTGTTTGGTACTCTTTAACTTGGGTCAGGTTTGCAAATTTCTGGAGGTCTCTAAGTTATCGTTTTCTCCAGAGTATGGTCCAAAGTTGAAAGAGGATTATGTTTTGGTTCAACATTTAAGTCATATCCAAAGAGATGATGCAGATGCAGGATGTTTTATGTGCTGTTGTTGCAGAAACAATTGGCAGAAGGTTAGTTTATAGAAAATGAGATGTCTTGTTCATGTATTGGATGAAGCAAATCAGCAAGTTACATTGTTGCATGTTTCTTGATTTTTCAGGTTTGGGCAGTATTAAAACCTGGATTTTTGGCTCTACTAGAAGACCCTTTTAGTGCCAAACTCTTAGATATCATTGTTTTTGATGTTCTACCTTCAAATGGGGATAAAGAGAATCAAGTACTTTTGGTGGAGGAAGTAAAGGAAAAGAACCCTCTTCGTTATGCATTCAAGGTAATTATTGTTAACCCTTTTTCTTATACCCATTATTGATGTTTGATAAAGCTTGAATCTTTTGATAGATTACATGTGGAAACCGAAGTATAAAGATAAGAAGCACAAGCAAAGCAAAAATCAGAGACTGGATATCAGCCATTTATAATACTGGTCAAAAGCCAAAAGAAGCTTGGTGCAATCCTCATCGTTTTGGTTCTTTTGCTCCACAAAGGGGTTTGACTTTGACTGATGATGGTAGTCAAGCTCAATGGTTTGTAGATGGACATGTAGCATTTGAAGCAATTGCTTCATCAATAGAAAATGCAAAATCAGAGGTATGCAAATTGCCATGTCATCACTTTCTAAAACTCCAGACTCCTTAATTGACTGAATCATCTTTTATCAGATTTATGTTACTGGTTGGTGGCTATGCCCAGAACTTTATTTAAAACGCCCGTTTCATGCAAATGGAGCTTCACGTCTTGATGCACTTTTTGAAGCAAAAGCAAAGGAAGGTGTGAAGGTACAATTGTTAATTATATTGTTTTAACGTGTTTTTATTATGTTTTAATATTTAAACAACATACTTGCAGATATACATTCTTCTCTACAAGGAGGTCCAAATTGCTTTAAAAATCAATAGTTTATATAGCCAGAAAAGGCTTCTTAACATTCATGAGAATGTTAAAGTGTTGCGTTATCCTGACCATTTTGCAGCTGGCATCTACTTGTGGTATGTATCTTATGAATTTTAAGTGCTATTGTGAATTATAAGATCCTTTGATCTTGTTTTACTCTTATTACTTTTTTAAAATGTAGGTCACACCATGAAAAGATTGTAGTTGTTGATCACAAGATCTGCTTTCTTGGGGGATTAGATCTATGTTTTGGTCGTTATGATACAATTGAACACAAAGTTGGTGATAACCCTCCTTTCACATGGCCAGGAAAGGACTATTATAACCCTAGGGAATCTGAACCAAATTCTTGGGTGGACACCATGACAGATGAATTGGACAGAAGAAAAGTTCCCCGTATGCCATGGCATGATGTTCACTGTGCTTTGTGGGGACCACCTTGTCGCGATGTAGCTAGACACTTTGTGCAACGTTGGAACCATGCTAAGGTTAAAAAAAAAAAAAAGTTATATGCTTATACAATGTAACAAATGCAGCTGTAAAAAGATGAGTTTTTGTTTCTCTAATTAGTTACCATTTTTTCCCAGAGAAACAAAGCACCAAACGAACAAACAATACCACTACTAATGCCACAACAACACATGGTCCTCCCACACTACATGGGAAGAAGCCAAAATTTAGACATTGAGAGTAACCCTACTGATGGAAACCAGATAGATATTACACAGGGTTCTTTTTCCTATGAGTCACCATCACAAGACATACAGTTTCTTTTGCCCCGAGAAGCTCACGAGATAGATTCTTCAAATGTCAATAACAAGTTGAACAGAGTGGACCAGAGAAACCCTGTTGATCCATCTCATGATGAACATTTAAACCAATCCCTGTCAACAACATATTCTGCAGATGATTTTAGTTCCTTGGATCATCATCATGAAAATAGCATGGTGACAACTAGTTTTGGATCCGAAATGTCAGATGAGAGTTGTGAAAGGCAACAAGTTTCTAGTGGTGAAATTTCACAAGTAGGTCCACGTACATCATGCTCTTGTCAGGTTAAGATTATTACTATTAGAATAAAGTTCATGCAAATATAATGAAAATCAATCAATCATGTATTTGATGTATGATTTGCAGGTTATCAGAAGTGTTAGCCATTGGTCAGGTGGAACGAGTCGAACCGAAGACAGCATTCACAAAGCTTATTGTTCCCTAATTGAAAATGCAGAAAAGTTTATTTACATTGAGGTAATTTCATGGCTAATATTAAGTGTAGTTGTCAACTTAAAGCAATGTGATAAGATGGTTTCAATGCAACAAGATCTAGTAATTTTTTTTTCTTTTTTCTCTTTGAATAAAAGAAGGAAGACCATACTATGATCCATATCTGTAAAGCTAATATTTTTTATGATTTCTTCCAGAATCAGTTTTTCATATCAGGCCTCTCAGATGATGACATCATAGAGAATCGCGTCTTGGAAGCTCTGTACAGACGTATACTGCGTGCACATAAAGAGGAAAAGTGCTTCAGAGTTATTGTTGTTATACCACTCTTACCAGGATTCCAGGTAAAAGCATGGTCTTCAATACGAGAGTAAATGACCATTTTACCCTTTTGTGTACATGAAGTTAAAGAATAAAGAGTAATGAATAAACAAACAGGGGCGTATGGATGATGGTGGGGCAGCAACGGTTAGAGCTATAATGCATTGGCAGTATCGATCGATTTCAAGAGGAGAAAATTCAATACTACAGAAGCTCAACTCAGTGGTTGGTCCTAAAACAGATGATTATATATCATTTTATGGTCTTAGGACATATGGGAGATTGGGTGATGATGGCCCACTTGTCACAAGTCAGGTAATTTAGTGTTTCCTAATAATGTATTTATATGAGTTTTAACAATTTATGATTGAAGGATACGTAGTTGCAGTGATAAGTTATTAATTAATGAAATCTTCTTCAGGTGTATGTGCATAGCAAAGTGATGATAGTTGATGATCGTATCACCTTAATTGGATCATCCAACATAAATGACAGGAGTTTGCTTGGTCACAGGGACTCGGAGGTACAAATCTACATTCTTTTCTTTATTCCTCTAACTAAAAAGAAGAAATGCAATAATATTTAACCTGTCTCATAAATTGGTAAAACTGTTTGGGTAAAAAAGATGAAATGTGGTTTTATAATGTCCATAATTATTTTTGGTAACCAAGGAAGTTGTATAAATATGCATATCAGATTGGGGTTCTGATTGAAGATAAAGAGTTTACTGAATCAACAATGAATGGTGAACCTTGGAGTGCTGGGAAATTTGCTAATAGCCTTCGACTTTCTCTATGGTCTGAACATCTTGGTCTGAATGGCAATCAGGTAACCTTATCACCATAACTAACATAACAGGTTGTACTGTGTTTGACATGAACCCAGAGCGGGTAGGTAACCCGCATTTGCTTATTTTCTTAAATCTCTCTCTTTTTTTTTTCTTTCAGATTAGTCAGATTAGAGACCCGATAGCTGATGTGACATACAAAGATTTATGGATGGCAACTGCAATGGTATAAATAAAATACATGCACAACCATTTATGTATATATATATTCTTCAAACTTTATTAAGTAATAATGTTTGACAGGCAAATGCCCAGATTTACCAGGATGTGTTTTCTTGCATCCCAAATGATTCTATACACTCAAGGTAAATCCTTATTTCCTAAATCCTAGACTATAATGTAGTATCTGGTATGATGGAACCAAATAATAACTGTTAGTATTTATCAATGAATTAATGCAGATATGCTTTTCGACAAAGTATGAACTACTGGAAAGAGAAACTTGGACATACGACAATTGATTTAGGTTTAGCCCCTGAATCATCATCAACAAGGGATGGAAGTGTTGTTCCTTCAATGGAGATATTAAAGGGAGTAAGAGGGTTTCTTGTTTCGTTTCCATTAGAGTTCATGTCTCAGGAAGATTTAAGACCAATGTTTAGTGAGACTGAGTTCTATACATCTCCTCAGGTCTTTTACTAGACATCCATCATTCATTCAATATTCAATTAGGGAGAATTTATTTCTTTTTCTTGTGATTGATTGTTAGAGGGAAAAGGGTGGTTGTGTAGATCAGTGAATAAATGTAAATTGTAAAATTACAATCTACATAGATCAAGTTGTGTAGAGCAGTGAATAAATAAATATATCTATCTTGAACCACATTGACACAATTTTTTGTATAAATCGTGTATATCATATTCCAATTTCCAAGTCTGTTAGCAACATAGTTTGGGTAAGTTACAGGCTTTTGTTAATTGTTACTTAAGGTCAGGTCCTAACACATTACATATGGAAAAAAAAAATACAATCTTTTACATAATCAATGTTTAGTTTCTATACATGAAAATAATTACAATATCACAACATTACAGAATGAAACAAACTCTGTATACCTATAAAATATTCTTCCATTTTCTTTATGAACAACAAAGACTAAAGAACACCACCCCCAAAAATCAACTTCCATATTTTCCAAAAAGAACCCCCATCCCTCCCTCTGTTTTTACCTAACTATAACTATATACATATTCTTTCACTCACTCATTTAGAAGGATTGGAATAAATTTGTTCCTTGATAGATCCACCATAGAATAGAATAGCAACACTTACTTCTTTTTAGGAGCCGGCTTTGCAGCAGTCTTTGCAGCTGGTGAACTAGCAGCCGCTTTTTTCGCCGGTGCTGCTGCTGCCTTGGCACTGTATTTATATTATTGGTGAGTTGTATTGAAAAAGGGTAATAACATACTTTTACAAAAACTAAAAGGTCAAATTTCCATTAAGCTTTCGTTAGGCATACTCTTGTTCATTTTAAATCATTATAATTTGGGTAAAAAGTAAAAAGTATATTGTCTATATTGGTAAAAAGAAGAAAGTAGTGATGATGTCATCATATTCATACCTTGGGGTTTTTGCTGCTGCTGCTGCTGCAGGAGCAGCTTTCTTGGCTTCAGTGCTTGCATCTTGGCCATCACCATCTCCCACATCCCCAGACTGCAAATATTCACCATGAATTGAAAAATAAAAAATCAATTTTCAGATAATACATATAACAAAAATTTACCTCCATATCTGGAAGCTCTCCTCCTGCCTTCTCCAATTGTGACTTAAGAAAAGCAACATGTTCTTTCAACTCCTTGAGTTCTATGATATCTTTGTTGGATTTAGCAGCCCCAAGTTCAACACTAGACACCCTTTCAGCAAATTTCAATGTGCTGATTGTTTCTCCAACTGTATCCGGATCACCTCTTACATGAATAAACATAAGTGTCTTGGCTTGCCCTCCTAGTAACATCACATGCAAATAAAAACAAAGTCATCAAGATTAGTAAAACAAAAAAATAAAAAAAAATAAAAAAAATCAAAAGAGGAGAGGACAGGAGGACCTACCAAGAGCATCTTGAAGCAAGAGGGTGAGTTTACTGTTCCTATAAGGAACATGAGCACTTCTTTGTGCAAGAGAGGCGATAACATCTCCTAAAGCAGAAAGTGATTTATTTATAAAAGTTGCCTCCTTTAATCTATCACCTGTAGCCTCTGTTTTATCCGCTCTTTCACTTCCAGCAAGATCCACCAGATGCATACAACCTCGCACCGTTGTACCCGTCGTCAGGTCCTTTCCAGCAACGTGAACCGTAAGGCAACTGCAATATTCATATTCATATTATATATATATATATATATATATATATATATATATATATATATATATATATAATATATAATATATAATATATAATATATATTGCCTGTGAGAACGACTACTACGTGCGTTCATTTGAGTGGACCCCACAGCACGATTATTATGGCCAAGATTCATTAAACGGATAACATCTTCTGTTGTTGTAACTGGTACAAGATTTGCATCTGGTACATTTATACCATCCGCTGCACCCAGTCGAATATCTAATGTGCTCAATGGTTAAGTCAACAAACTTAGTATCTCTATATATATGATTATGACTTTATACAACCATGATAGGGAAAAGGATATTTCTTGCTAACTCCATCTGTCAGCAGGAGATCTCTGATCATTTCGTTATAAATTTCAAGCATCTGGACAGAAACTGTGTAGGAAATCATGCCCTTCCTTTCTTCTCGGATTCCAAACAAATCATTTAGTGCCCTGTAGTTTACTCCCATTGTCTCTTCTGTAAAAACATCAGGTCCAGTCTGCAAATGCAAACACCACCTTACTAACTTTAATTATAAAACATTAATCTCATAAATCAAAATGCAAAAAGTTTAATGAATTTCTTACTTCTTACCATTGTCCAAGTTTTCCCAGATCCTGTCTGCCCATATGCAAATATGCAAACATTGTATCCATCAAGAACAGAACGGATCAACGGTTGGGTGTCTTTGTATACCAAAGCTACAAACAACATCAAAATGTAAAAACATAAACATAAAGAGAAAATGTAAAAAGAAATAGAAGATGATTTTGGAGGAGAGAGAATAGTCAGACCTTGAGTTGCACCTGGACCAAAAACTCTATTAAAAGTGAATGGTTTGCGGATTTCTTTCCCATTTTTAACACCTGTGATAATCTCCATGGTTCCCTCATCTATGCAATCAACACAGCCTGCTTTTCCCCCAGAGGGTCTGGATCTACAGTACACCCTGATATTTCCTTTTAGATCTTGAACTTCATTATACAGCCTTCGGTTTTCTTCTACAACTTTCTTGTATCCTGATGCAGCTTGAGCCAGATTACGCATCTGATTGCCTGACAACTCACAACCAACATTTTTTTTTAATTCCTTTCAAACCCAACCTTTTTTTTTTTTTAAATAAAAATAAAACTGTATGTATGTACCTAAAGTATTGAACTCCTTTTGATAGTTTGTTCGTAGTGTCTCCAAATCTGCTTTTGCAGTAGCAAACAGATTTTTCAATGCCTGTATCATATCAAAATCTCTATTAGGCATATCTGTGCTCATAAAACCTTTATAATGATTAAGGTGGAGAAAAATAATATATATACTTGTAGCTTTTTATTCTGGAAATCAACCAGCTTTTGCTGCTTTTCAGAACTGGTTTTTAACCTGTTGCATTCAGAATTCACCCAATCATAGTATTTCTTATCCTTGGCATCTTCAATTGCTCTCCTTTCCATCTCTTTCTTCCTTTCCATTTCCTTCTTCTTTTCAATCTCCATCTTCCTTTCCATCTCTTTCTTCCTTTCATTCTCCTTCATTTCCTTTTTCGCCTTCTTCTCCGTTTCCATTTTGTCCATCTCTTTCTTCTTCTCCATCTCCCTCTGTTCCCTCTCTTTCCTCTTTTCCTCCTCCTTCTGTTCCTTCCCTTTCAACCTCTCTGCTTCCTTCTGCTCCCTCTCTCTCTTCCTCTCCAACTCCTTCTGTTCTCTCTCTTTCTTCCTCTGCAACTCCTGCTGCTCCCTCTCTCTCTTCTTCTGAAGTTCTCTCTCTTCCTTCTCTTTCTTCTTCTGTAGCTCCTTTGCTTCCCTCTCTTTCTTCTTCTCCATCTCCAGTCTTTCCATCTCTTTCTTCATTTCCATCTCCTTTCTCTCCATCTCTTTCTTCTTTTCTATTATCTTAAGTTCCATCTCTTTCTTCATCGCATCACTCATGTCACTTGTATCTGTGTTTTGCATTTCCAAAAGCTCTGATTCCATCTCCTTCTGCATTGCATCATGCTCCGCTTCCATGGCTTCTTCTTCTTCGTCTGCCTCTTCCTCTTCCTCCACCTCTTCCTTCTCCTCTTCTTCTTCCTCTTCCACCTCCTCACCTTTCTCACTACCTGACTCTGGGCTATCTTCCTCTTCTTCACTTTCCTCTTCCTCTTCACTTTCCTCTTCCTCTTCCTCTTCCAACTCATAACTTATTATATTCTTGGAAGGAACCGAATCTGTTTTGGGAATTGCAATCGTGGTTGGTTTCTCTTCCATCTTGACACTTACATCAACAGTTGACTTTTTGACATCTGGGGTTGCTTTCTTTTCCATCAGATCATTCTTCACAACATCTGTGGTTGATTTTTTATCCATCTCATTATTGATATCACTACCCCACTTCTTGGTATCCGTGTTTGCTTTCTCATTAGCTACATCACCCCACTTTTTGGCAAATGTGGATGTGGGTGTTCTCCTTTCAATCTCCATAGGAGATTTCACAGCATCTTCGGTTGCTTTCTTTTTCATCTCATTTATTATAGAACTAAACGACTGGAATCAAATGTTTTTTTTGAATCAGTGAGTGAGTTATAAAGAAATTTGGAAATAAGTCATGATTCATGAACAATGACAATACCTTCTTCTCTTCCTTTCTCCTGGTCTCTGGAATAGCATTTTCATCCTTCTCCTTATTAAGCATCTTTATAAATTCTTCTTTTTTAGACTTTCTTCTATCCAAGGACTGACATGATGTTAACCAAAAGGGTTTACTGTGTCAGAAAGTGTGATACAAGTGCTAAAATTTATGAAGAAATCAGCTTTACCTTTGCATCTTTAGTTTTAGCTCTACGAAGAGCTTTATTTGGGTCAGTTTCTTTAGGAGGATTTGCAGCAATCTGTTAAAATAACAAACAAGATACATAATATATTATATTCAATATGTGTGCAAGTGGTATACACAGCTGCTTACCTGTTCTTTGTGGGTTTCCACTTTACGTTCCAACTCCTTTGTGAGTTTGCTTAGCACAATCTCAACAACCTATAGGAAGTAAGGGAATTTGTGAAACAATTACATATAAAAAATTCAAACGTAAAAAGAACGTTTTAATAAATCATCTCCCAAGGTTGACTTACTATAGGAACATCTCGTGGCGTATGATTTGAAAGAAGATCACGGACACGTTCTTGAAGGGGCTTACATGCATAAACAAGAATCACTCAAGTTATCAGAGGCTTTCACTTTTTGCATAATTTGTGAAGAGAAAGTAAAAGTAAACCACACTACACTACACTAACCTTATCCTTAACTTCTTCTTTCCAAAGATCATCACATTTATCCATATCCAATGATTTATGAACCATTTCTTTCCTTTCTGAAGAGGGTTTCCGATACCCCCACCTAAACTTCCCATTTGCACCTGCCTTTTTCCAGTCACCATATGCTTTTAAGGCTAGTACACAGTTCACGACTCTTAATAACCTTCCCCCCTATCAAAATATAATTAAAATTAATAAAGGAGGATTTGCAGTTTTGATTTTAATTTTTAAAAAAACAACCTGTACCTGTTCTAAATCTGAGGCTTCAAAAGATGGAAGTTGCCTTTCTTCTATGGCTGAAAGAAAATTTGTGATATTTTCAAAGTATGGGGATGTAGATAGAGGTTCTCCATCTGGTATAATAACAGAATCAAAGGGTGCTTCCACGATCTGGGAAACCAACATACACGATTTCATTCCATTTTTAAAATTTTTATAAGAAAAGAAAATCTATTAATTACTAGTAGTAGGTAAAGAAGGTTACTTTAGAAATTGCACCGGGTTCAATCTTGTTAATAAATTTGCAAAAAATAATTCCACTTCTTAACCCCATCCTAAAAGCATTTTCTGAAGGCTCGGCTGGCAAATCTTTTGCAGCCACCACACCTACATACTTTCTTAGCCATCTTGTTGCATCATTTCTTTTTGTTGCTGAGAAATCAGAATTGGAAACATCCTCAGAATCATAATATTTCTCTTTATCAATAATCTTAATGCCACAATCAACCACATACATACAACACACCAACATAATGTATAAAGTCCAAGTAGATATTCTATTCTTTCTCTCTCTGACAATAGATCAAACACCTACTATGCATGAATTCTGTTCTACCAAAATAATTGTAAATATTATTATAGATGATCAAAGAAAGGAGAAACGTACCGATTTTTGAATTAGGCTTGGATGGCACATTGGCCTCGACCAATTTGGGGCCTTGCTGCTGAAGAACTTCTTCAACCATTGACCCGACAGAAAACGTAAATGTGGCTACAGTCTCCGCCATTTTGGAAACAAAAAAACAGGGCACCCAGAGAAATGCTAACAGGGCAAACACTCAACTTTTTGGGTCCTCTTGAATGCAATCATCTATGGGGAAGGGAATGCAGCATGTTGATGGATGAAGAGAGACAGTTTTACAAACATGGAGGGAGAGCTGGCTGTAATGAAAACAGAAAAAGAAAATTGAATTTGGTGATTTCTTTATTCACTCTCTCTGGCTCTATCTCTCCTCTTTGTGATCATATTCTTTAATTCAGTTTTCTAAAATTAATTTTGTTGTGGAGGGAAGAAAGGGTTGTTGTTAGAAATGGAGAGAAATAATCTCGTTCCGTGCCTCTCGCCATGGAAGGAAAGCTCCTAACCGTTTATAATTTTACAAGGGCGTAGGCCAGTCTTTTCGCCAAATTACGCTTTTACCCTAACAATCTAAACATCCCTCTTCCCTCCTTCATACATTCTTTAATCAAGACTTGTATTTTAGAACACCGACTTCATCGCCGCCGATTGCCCTACTGCACTACCCAACCACCGCCGTCCCCCTTTCACTGTTGCCCCCTCCGTCCTCCACATGCGTTATCGTCGTTGACAGCCCTCCTCCCATCCTCTTTAAATTCATTCAAAAACATCAATTGATATGTTTTGGTCACTATAAGATGTAAATGGAAGTATTTAAATTTCACAAATTTATATTTTAAGAATGGGATAATGACTTAAAAGGATAACATATTATTCGATTTGTACACATTTGATCATTGATTTTTTTTTCGTCCATATTTACCCCTTAAATTTGTTAAACTGTACACATTCCGGGAAAAATGACTTGATAGGATAATATATTTTTCATTTTGTACACATTTAGTCCTTAATATTTTTGTACATATTTAGTTCTTAATATTTTTTTTGTTTCAAAATAAGTCCTTTTTTGTACTCATTCAGTACTTATGAATGATTTCTTTACGTTTTTTCACGACATCTTACGCGAGACAATCATTGATGAGGTGTTTGGGGTTGTTGATGCTTATGTCCAATGCGATCTCGACTGCTTGGTTGCGTAAGTCTTGTGGTTTGGCTTAGGTATTGTATTTTGAACATCGTAACTTCTTCATACGATATCAGATTTTAAGGATCTTTATCCACGTGTTCATTTTTTGAGTCTACTACAACTTTCATTAAGATTACTCCCGTTAAAATGTAATATATTTTTACTAACAATTTTATAAAAAAAACATACATACATGCATTCATAAAAAACGTATGGATAGGGGAAGACGCAGTAATACATAGTAGGTGTTGCCGAGATGAAATAGGTGTTGCCGATACATGGAAAATAGGTATAAACGAAAAAAAAAAGCGAAAAATTTTCCACTGCGAATAGAAAAAACAGGTGTTGTCGGTGCAACACCGGGACCATACTAAATCCGCCACCGCGTGTGGATATAAAAATCGTAAGTAAAAATACATTATTTTTTAATGGGAATAATCTAAATGAAAGTTGTAGTAGACTGAAATACGAACGCATGGATATAAAGATCGTTAAAATCTGAGATCATATGAAGAAGTTATGACGTTCAAAACACATGACCTAAGCAACCAAGTAGTCGAGATCGCTATGGATATAAGCATCAAAAGCCCCATACACCTCATTAATGAATGTCCCACGTAAGATTTCGTGAGAAAAAACTAAAAAATCATTCATAAGTACTGAATGAGTACAAAAAAATTACTTATTTTGCAAAAAAAAAAAAAAAAAAGACTAAATGTGTACAAAAATATTAAGGACTAAATGTGTACAAAGTGAGAAATATATTACCCTATTAAGTCATTTTTACCGGGTAACCTGGAGTAGCCGGTCATAAGGACTGAATGTATACAGTTTAACAAGTTGAAGGGGTAAATGTGGACGAAAAAAAACTCAGTGACCAAATGTGTACAAATCGAAAAATATATTACCCTTTTAAGTCATTATCCCTTTAAGTATTAAAGAAACATTCTTATTGTATTTGGTGTAAGCAAACATTCAATGGACAAAGTACACTCTTATATGCATTAATAAACTCAGCAGGCAAAATAATGTCAGATAAATGCAATTCATGATATGGTTTTAAACACAAATTCCAAGTCATTTTTAGTAAAAAAAAAATATCCCATAATCGATGGTTAAACGGATCAAAGCCGAAAAAGTGGTGAAGCATGTACAACACATCAGTAAATTGAATGACCATGTTGGTATTAAGACGATTGTGTAAATGCACAAACCTACACACAAATGTGTAGAAATGTCTATGACAACCTACTTTGTTGAACTTGATTCTATGCCTCCAAACATATTTTTAATGACTTAAGGTGTTTGTACTTGATCTAAAACTTATATAAAACATGTAATAACATTCATCTTAACATTATAAACCTCATTTACTTATTGATTGAAGTGATTAACACTTTAATTTTTCCATTCAAACTTGAAAACTCAAGAATGACCACTAGTTGGAAATATCTTTAATGAATTGAGTTTTGACAACTAGAATCACATATGAGATCAAATAGTTATATTAAATTTAAATTCAAATGTGAATTTGGTTAGATCACTGGATGATCTAATTATATTAGGGTTGAATTATTCACTAGAGCACTGTAATCTTACATTTGACCCATATGATGGACTAAACTCTGTGTTTTAAAAATGGAACCTTGAAATCTACATTCAGTTCATTTCATAATACCTAATCCATGATCAAAAATGGATTCCTATTAATCAACAGGCGATTCATCAAGCTAGGGTTCTAAAATTTTACCTATTGTTATATGTATTTCATGCATCCTTATTGCTTGTTTATTTTCTAGTTTTGCATATCATTTTACTATAAACCTTTTTTTACTAATTAATGGACACCATTTAGTTTGGGTGGAACGCCTCGTATCACTCACTATTTAATTGAATTTGTAGGGATGATTGGATGCATAGAAAGTTAACGAGGGTGAGAGAAAGGCTTGTAGCATAAAATGGAATGGACTTGGTTGATGGAGAGCATTAGATTGGCATGGAACTGTTGGACAAGAGATCAGAAGTTGGAACAATGAAAATTTAAGAAACATAAACATGTTGTTTCACACATACAAAACATGGACCATGTAATAAAGAGAGCATATACTTTGAGCATTGTACTTTGGAAGTTGGTCACGACTCAAAAGCATAGTTCATTTTCTTTTTGTTTCTATAATTACACACAGACCGTGTTTGTTGGGAAAATCTACATATTGGCATCATACTTTAGCGAAGGCTCGAAAACGCATTTTGAGAAAACACAGACTATGTTTTATTGCCTTGAAAATCATAGACCGTGTAACTTACCCGAGAGCATATCTTTTATTTGTCATGTTCCTATAAATTAGACCAGTTTATTATTGAAAACTTTCGATTCTAGAGACTATGAGAAGACCTAAAGGTGATTTCCAAGCATGAGGAACCACAAGAAACATTCTATTTCTGTTTAGTAAGTCAAATTCTTACTTAGATTCAGTGTTTTTTTTTGTGATTTGTTTTTATTCATGTCCGACTAAAAACTCTATACTTTGATTCTGCAAAAACTTCGACTTTTTTATGCAGTTAGTCATTTAATTTGGTGTTATTATTGTGTTTCTATCCAAAAATCTTAGTTTAGATTCAACCAAATGTTTAATTTTAATTTGGTTCATGTGGGCCACTTGAATTAGGGATAAGTCAATCTAGTTATTCAAACTTATGAAATGTTTATCGTTGTGTAAGTTGATTTCAAGTAACAAATATCGAATTATTTCTGTGATAGAATTTAATGTCGATGTGAACTAAGACTCGCATGTTTTCACACTCCCAAGCTTATGAGGAGGAATGAACATTGTTTGGAAACATTTACATAAAACTTAATGCAATCTTTCAACTTAAATCTAAGAGCTTGTTTAGATTAGGTTAGAAATGTTAGGTTTAATTCAAAAAGCATGTTTTGATTAGACAATTCAGTAAAAGAAAATATATTAGAGCTTGTTAGTATCTTTTAGTACCAACTTAGATAGAATATTATTTGACATAATTTTAATATTACATTGCATAACTAGGAGAGCCAAGGCAAAATTAGATCGTTTTACTTCTGAATTTCTTCTTAAACTAAATCATTTTTTATGCAGCTTCAAAACGTTTCTAACATTTTAGTTTATGAACCATTACCCCCAAAAAATTTCATATGATTATTATTTTTCATAATTGTGTCTTGCACAAAGAGGCATAGAATATGTAACAACCGGATTATTTCAGTCAATAAAAGTCAAACAATGTCAAACCAAAAGTCAATGTTGCAAACAAAAGTCTAATAATTTAAATTAAATTATGAAAAATTCATTTTATAATGGAGATTTCGGTTTTAGGAATCAAATGCAAAAAAGCTAACCGAAAACACATTAGACCGAAATCCCTTTACCACCGAAATCGACCTCCACCGAAAACGTGCGAGGAACCCACCTTCGGACCGAAAACTAGTTCTCGGTTGGTCTTTAGGACCAAAATCAAGGGATTTTGGTGGGGGTTAGACCGAAAACCACATAGACCGCAAACCACTTGGACCGAAAACTCTAGTTTTCGGTGGTATCTTAGACCGAAATCAAGGATTTCGGTTGAAGAGATAAGCCGAAATCTCTAATTTAGGAGGTGACACACATTCCAAAGGGATAAAATACACATCCCAACGTAAACATCCCATTATGCCTCAACCGAAATCAATGTCCATAACTCTCATTTTCACTTCAAAAACATCCCACATTTTCTCTCAAAACCCATGCTCACGTCTTCAAGTCTTCATATATTTGCCCAGTAACCTTCAAATCTTCATAGTTTCTCTCAAGAACATCACCAAAATCCCCAAGAACATTCATATTACCTTAATATCTTCAAGGATACCCAAGAACACCTTCACACATTCTTAAGGATTATTGTAAGTATTTCTTACATAATCTAGTGTTGTCTAACACTTAAATTGATTATTTCACTAATTTAAATACAATATCGTGTATAAATACTATTAGGATTTCGGATTTTTCGCGTGTTCTAACACGAAGAACGTCACTACCACATCGTATCAAACCAAGAACACACACCCGAGGTGAGTTCATACCCTTACGTTTTCACGATTTTTTTCCATATTTTAGGGGGGGGGGGAATACAAGTAAAACACAAAGAATCTTGTGTTAATATTCAAATTATTTCAAATTATTTCAACTGTTGTTTTACCAATAT